GTGTGTGTGAGAGAGTGTGAGTGTGTGTGTGTGTGACAGAGAGAAGGTGTGTGTGTGTGTGTGTGTGTGTGTGTGTGTGATTACTTTCATTATTGATTGATCGTTTCGTCACATTTGTGAAAATGCTTATGACGGGTCGCCCTGGTGGCTCGTACAGTCCTCTGTGCTGCAGCGTTCTCACTCTTTCTAAGAAACCTTTTTCCAGGACCTTTCCAGGAGTTTTTCTCGACAGCACTCGCTCACCAACAGTCGTATAATTGACCTGCATTGACCGCCATTTTTAACAATGAAGTGTCTCAGGTTCATTATGAGAAAAAGATCCCTAAAACACAATAAACATTCTTCAGGACAACCTGGATCATTTCCAGGATATTTGGTCATTTTAATACATTTCCAGGTGTTTCCATGACTGGAAAACTACTCTCTAAATATACAGATTGTCCAGGTCCCGCCACCTTCCTGTCACTCTTCCGTTGCTCCGGTCTAATAAAAGGCCATAAAAAGGCCCAGAAACCATCTTTACCTTTAACCTTAACAAGAAAAGAAAGAAAGTGATAAAAAATCTCATTATAATGTCTTTAAATGTCTTCTTTTGTCCAACCAACGGTCCAAAACCCCAAGAGACTCTTCATCAGGATCAGAAATGACTCACATTAAAGCTGCAGTAGGTAACTTTAGTAAAAATAACCTTTCCTCACTGAATCCTGACAGTAGAGACGGATCAGGTTCCTCTGGTTCCTCAGGTTCCTCTGGTTCCTCCTGGTGCTCCTGATGGGATTCACAAGAATCCACCGGGCCCGGACGTTATTATTAGAAAAGTTACCTGCAGCTTTAAGAGGCTGTGAAATACCTGAAGCGCTCAATCAGTTATCACAATAATTGGCAGCAAAGTGTTTTTTTCCATCGACCTCTTGTTGCAGCTCTGAGCTGTTAGTGGACCTGCAGGGCGGCTTCCTGCTGACAGACGGCGCCTCCTGGTGGTCGACTGGCGGTTACGCACTCTGCACGGACTCTGCAGCAACAACAACAACAACAACAACAACACCTGGAGTCACCTGAGGGCCAGTTATACGCACAAATACGTTACCATGGAGATTTATTCTGTGCAGCTCCAGACCAGGATCCATTAATCCGGTAGTGTTATCTGTTCAGACTGCGATCGGAAACCGGTGTGTTTTTGAACTTATTTAATGTTCTACAGGTCGGGCTACTGCCATTCAGTTAACTGTTTAATATCTTTTATACTGAGTTTATTAAGAATATATATAAAGGCATATGATATTAAAAGCTGTGGGTAATTAATAATTAGTCGACTCACTTCAAACACACAACCAGTGAACCAGCTCTGATCACAGAGGCCATCTGAAGCCTTTTAACTTCAGTTATTACTTATTTACTGGCACCATCAACATGTTCAGAGCAGCCTACACTGGTCACTGAATGAATATACAGTTTACTTACAGACTGCTTTAATGTCCACTCACACTCACCGGTTTGCCTCTTTCTACTTCCTGTGTGTCACACTGAGGACTTCTCTCAGCCTCCATCCTGTTAGCACACCAGCAGCTGAGCCGTCTGTGGAGGAGGCCCGTTAATGACGCCCACTATCAGAAACCAAACGGTTGCTTTACCCGGTCAAATATCCACCTTCCTCTCTCTGTGTGTTTCTAAATGCTAAAACGAGTCACGGCCCGCCAGAGTGAATGTGTTAGTGACTTTGTAACAATCATGGCCGACCAATGGCAGCAGCGTCACCCTCCACCACTCCAGCTCTGGCTACCTGTGTACAGCGTGCTGATCCGACTCTCCTCCAGTGTTAAAAAGAAGCTGCTTTTCTCTGCGGGGTCGGAGGTCACAGTGTCTCCTGACCCCATCTCACAGGTCACCACGGTGATGGGTCCCCTCCCCGCCTTCAGGCTGACCTGGATGCAGTCCTGCAGCGAGGAAATCAGATCTTTAAACACAGTTAATAATCCAAACACTGACGGTGTTTACGGTGACTCAGGAGACTCCACCTCTCTGGGAGCAGGAATCTCCAGTTTAGTTTCCTCTGGAGCTTTCACCACCATCACCGTCTGGTCCTGGAAGCCTGGGATCCGGCTGACGTCCTCGTGGGTCACGTAGGCCGACGTGAAGGAAGGTTAAAGAAACGTCTGTACGAACTGTGTTTTAAAATGTCCTATTTCTGCTGCCGTGTGAGTATCTCTGATAACCTTTTTCACAGCAGCCATTCTGACATGATAGTCGGGTAAACACAGCTGTTGTCTAATAATAATAGGGTTGAATGTGAGAGGATATGCAGAGTTTTCCACGTCGTCCGTCATGTCGAAGAGCTGCCTGGCGCAGCTTTTGATGAGGCCGTCCAGCGTGTCCTCCACCAGCTTCAGGTTCTCCAGCTCGCTCTGGGACTTGAGCTGGTTCTTCCTCAGAAAGCTGGAGATCGGACACCTTCCTCTGCAGGGAGAGCGGTCCGAGAGTCAGACAGCCGCAACCCCTCTAAACACCACTGTTCCCACTTGGTATTAAATGTTTAATCCTATATTTCTATATACACACATATATGGAGGCCCTCTGTAATACCCACAGATGTGAAGGGAAACGAACACGCGGACTCACATCCACTTGATCCTGTTGGCCGACTCCTTCTGGATGAGGTTGATCCCGTCCAGGACGTTGGTGATGTCGCACACTCGCCGTTTGTACGTCTGCAGGCTCGTGGCCGCCTGCCGGAGGTCCATGGAGCCGCCCGGCGCCGCCAGCAGCAGCTCCAGGAAACGCTGAGTCAGCAATCCCAGCAGCCTCTGGGACGCGCCTGAACACAACACACACACACACACACACACACACACACACACACACACAACAAGACAACATTAAGATTTTTCTGCTCCAGTAAAATATTTAGTTTCCTTTTTGTTGTTGAACGTCAGGATTAAATATAATAACTGCTTTTTATTTCCAGTTAACCTGCCGATACAGTCCAAACAAATGTTCAAGTTCATGGTGATATAAAACTTTGAAAAACAGAAAATCCTCTGACTGAACTATCAAAATAAGCAGCCAATAAATTCTGTTTATTAACTAATCAATTTTTTAATCTTGAAAGAACTAAACTAAAACAAAAATGCTATTTTCTGATTTCTTAGCAGGTTTAAGGACGTTTATTCCAACAATGAAACTACTTTATAAATACGGGAACGTAAAACAAAAAATGACTTTTATTTTTTTTTTTAAATGAAAATACAACCATATTTAAAAATGCTAAATTTATAAACTTTTTCCGTTTTTGGATTTGAAAAGAAAAATCAACCCATTTCCTGTTTTTTTGGTTTCAAAATAAAAAAAGTAAAAACACATTTTGCCTCAAAACTATTAATCGATCATAAAAACAGTTGTTGATTAATTGAATAGAGTGAACCTGAACGCAGCACTCACCCTGTCCCGAGGCTCTGCTGGACCGGACCGACTGTCTCCTCTGTCCTCTGTCCTCTGCGGCGCTGGAAGGACACAGACAACAACAGAACGTAATGAATGAGATGGAGAACGTTTAGAGAAGGAGCAGTGAGCGGCTGGTTGAGCTGTTACCGGGTCCGTTCAGCCTCTGGAGGACTCTCCACACCTCCACCTGGACCCTGGACAACAGAGGAAGACACTTTATTCAAACACTCATTTCTTTATCACAAACTCTAAACGGCAGACAGACTCCAGACCTGCTGCAGTGGAGGAGCATCTCCACCTTCATCTTCATCCTCTTCATCTTCCTCCTCGTCTTCCTCCTCTTCCTCGGAGGACTCGGCTCCCCAGGGGCTGATCAGGCCCCGCGGCCCGTCCAGGTACGGGGGCATGATGGGAATGACGTCGCTGGTGACCCCGCTGGAGGAGACGTCCTCCGGCAGGAAGTGGTCCTCGCAGATCATGTGACGCTCCGTGGAGTCCTGCTTGTCGGTCTCCCTCAGCGCCGCCAGCCACACCTGAGACGAGGACACCAGGAGAGGACACCAGGA